GCAATACTGCGCTGCACACTTTCTATCTCTTTTTAAATTTTTTTTTTAATTTTTTTTTATGAGAATGTGTGGTTACAAGTTTGCTATGTTTTCAATTGACTTTGATGTGTCGTTGCACAAAACACAGTTTTACTTTTTGTTGTTTTTTATTTTTTTTTCAATTGATAGATTTCTTGCCAAAAAAAAAGATAAATAGTGTGAATTTTTTTTATTTTGTTAATAATTTTTTAAATTTTTATAATGATGTCAAACCAACCTTAAATTCAATTAATTCAAATAATACTCACTCTTGATTATACACAATCACTCTTGATTATACACAATGTACGTTACACTGGAGAATTTTTCAATTATTAAAGAACCTAACAGCGTGTCATATGATGAAATGACAGGTTGCACTTTTCACATGCTCCTAGCAAGAATCTTACCTTTCTGCTTTTTAATACCTAGAAGTGCATTCACAAACTTTTGTCATGTGTGAACATGACACTTTTTTCTGGTTGGTCCATTATAATATAAAATCACTTTTCTCATCAACTAATAAAAAAACGTGTAATACTTATCTAAGGCAAATAAATTTGCTCTCCCTTCAAGTGTGTATAGCTGCTGATGAGTGTACTACTTGACACAAGAATCATTTAATAACCACTGGGGCTGGTGGCCCAGTGGAGAATGCATTTACCTCCAGCAATTCGTGTCAAGTTCGGCATTTAGGGGCGTAAAAAATCCTAATTTTGTTTGGGGTTTTTTTGAGACCTCGCGTTATATTTCGGTCAAAACTTGTCTGTGGCTGGGGGTGCTGTACTCCGGTCGAAATTTGTCCGTGACTGGGACGGTTGACGAGCTCTGCTGGTGTCTTAGTAGTGGGTCCCTCACTTGGTGAGAGTTAATTCCTAGCTGACAACTGGCTACCATGGAGTCAGGGCCCACAGGGGCTGTGATGATACCACAGACCTCTTTTTTACTAATAAAAAAAAAAAAAATCTCTCAATATTTATGTGAGAGTGTTTTGAAAAAATAAAAAAAGATGAGACAATTTATAGTTATTATAAGATAATATAGATAAGAATTTCACGTTAAATACAGTAATCTACAATTAGCTGATGATGAGTGTACTACTTGACACAAGAATCTCCCAATGCTTATGTGAGAGTATTTTGAGAAAATAAAAGAATATGAGACAACTTATAGTTATTATACGATAATATAGATAAGAATTTCACTTTAAATGCACTAATCTACAATTATTTTGAAACGTTTCTTATTTTTTGCCAGAGTTAATAACATTTTGATTTTCAAAATGTTAATTTTGTATTATTTTGGTACTTAATATTTAAATTATGTTAATTTTGTCTTTGATGTATAAAAAATATTTTAATTTAATTTTTAATTATTTAAATTGTATTAATTTAGTCGCCGATATGTAAAAAATATTTCAATTGGATCTTCAAACAAAATCCTGTGAGTCAATTATAAACGTGTAATTTTAGATATAAGCTTTCACTTAAATAACATATGTCACATTTTATAGGGCTACAAGTGTAATTTTCTATTAAGTACATTTTCAAATAACATATGTCACATTTTATAGGGCTAAAAGTGTAATTTTCTATTAAGTACATTTTCTTATTTATCAATAACTTAAAAGATATCTATTAACAAAATTTGATTGGAGGACTAAATTAAAATATTTTTTATACATTAGAGATTAAATAGACATAATTTAAAATAATTTGTATATATTGATGGAATAAAATGAAGTGGAAATGGAATGGTAGTGGGAATGAAAAGAAATTATTCAATATTTTCAGAGCACCACGTGTCTACATTCTTTAACCAATCATCATTTAATATGTTACATCATGTTCCTCAATCACCCAACACAATATCTCACATATCCATTCTCTCCACCAATCACAATATTATGAAATAGCACGTGTCTATATTTCAGAATTATTAAATAATTACCCAAGAAGGGAACACATGATAGAATTGGTTGACATTGTAAAATGATGTAGGAATGGAATTAATGCCCATTCTCATTTCTATATTTGGTTTGTTAAGCAAATTGAATAGAATAAAAATTTACCAAACTAATAATAACTGTTAGATTAAATATTGTATAATCATTTTAAATTGTAAAAATTTTATCAATATGAACAAAACAATAAATTTCAAAATTGCACAATACCCGCAATCATAAAAAAAATATTCATTGATCTTAAAATGCACAAATAAAAATATGTTTTACTCCAGTTAACATTCTTTAATGCCAAAAATTAAAAAAACAAAAACAAATTAAAAAAAAACTTAGGCTAGGCCTGAATTAAAAATAATTGAAATACTACTTAATTAACCCTGGTTATAGTAAAAAAAATAAAAATAAAAAGAAAATAAAAAGTCACTTATGCTAGAATGATTGTAGTAAATACATCTACTCTTTTTTTATTTTTTATTTTTTTTGGAGTAATGTCTTAGAGGCACATTTTTTTAAAAAAATTTAAAATTTATTTTTTATCAACAACAATTAATAAATATTTCAACAAACAAACCATATAAAATAAAACAATGTGATGCACCACTGAAAAATATATATGTACTATTATACAGTTTATATGATTTCATGAAGTTTCGCGCGCACATATATGTATATATATATATATAAATGTCTTATAATTAACATGTAAATAAATTGAAACATAATTTTTTTTAAAAAAAGCATTGATCCTAGTAGAAGAACAATAATGGAGTCGTCTATGGCTAATTATTTAGTAAGAGAGAGTATTCATAGATAGAGATTGTGAGAGCAAAGAAGATTTTTGTTTTCCTGAAAACAATCTCCTTTTTTTTTTCAATCAAGAGAGACTGTTGTTTTATTTTATGATGATTTTATGTTGAAATGGAGTAACTATTCCTTAGCTTCTCACATGGAATATATAGTCTCTCTTTTTGTTAGAATATGTATTCTCATGGAATAACTATTATAACTTAAATAAAACATTCTAAACGGGGGAAAGATAATATAAAATTAGAATGAACATTTCATTCCAAGAGAAGTTATTGGTTGGTCCAAAGGCAACGCCACATGGTGCTCCACATACATTGTGATTGGTGGAGAGAGTGAGGCCTACGATTTTGTATTGGGTGATTAGGAAACATGAACGGATATAAAGGTTTGTAATTGGCCTAAGGCATGATCACATGGTATCCCAAGATCAATCAATAAATTTTTCTATTCCATCGTACCAAATGTGTTCTTATGACCAAATGACAAAAATAAAATAAAAATAAAAATAATACTTTGAGAATCAAAAATATAATTAACTCTTTTTCATGGTAAGTTAGCCATCATTATTTTATTTTGGATAAATTATAAATACGCTCTCTGAAATTTGATTAAAATACGAATCGTTCATGTAGTTTTGAAAATTACATTTCACCTCCTAAGATTTCTAATTTCATAACAAATTACCCTTTTATTAATAAATCATCAAGTTAATTAACAATTTTTAATGATGTTAGAAATATGATTAAAATATGAATACACTCTTTGAAATTCAATTAAAATACGAATCGTTCATGTAGTTTTGGAAATTATATTTCACCTCCTAAGATTTTCAATTTCATAACAAATCACCTTTTTATTAATAAATCATCTAGTCAATTAATATTTTTTAATGATATTAAAAATATTTTTTAATTAATAATTTAAATAATTTTATTATTATGTAAGAGGTTAATTATAAAGGGAAATGATTTTTCTCCTGAAATCCCCCCTTGAACAGCTCGAAAGAGAGAAAGAGAAGAGAAATAGAGAAAGAGAAGAGGCAATGGAGAGAGAGAGAAGGCCCCTCCTTCGCCTCTGCCGCCGCCGATCGATGGCAGATCGACCGGCCGATCGTCACAGCAGCTCCGATCGTCGCAGCAGCAGCTCGTCGCAGCCCCGCCTCCGACCGCCGTCGCCTCCGGCCCCGCCTTCGCCTCTAGCCCGATTTTCTTCTTCTTCTCCTCCTTCTTCCTCTGATTTTCTTCTTCTAAAAAAAAAAAAAAATTCAAAAACGACGTCGTTTTTTGAATTCGGGGGATTCGGGGGCTCAAATTCGAGCTACCAATCACTACTCAATTATAAATTTTATTTTTTAATTAATTCTATTCAATAAAAAATACTAAAAAATGGAAAAAAAAATATTTATAACTTTACAAACTACATCAACCATCCATGCTTTAAGGGAGGTTCTATTTACACACAGACATCCCTCTTTTTACACACCCTTCTTAATTCACACACCAAAAAAAAAAAAAAAATTATTCATCACACACAATTTTGTTCCAGTTATATCCCCATACACACACTCTCAATCCACACACCTTCTTCCACACCAGTAAGAAGGTGTGTGGATTGAGAGTGTCATGCCGGCGGCGACGCAGCACCAGCGACGCTACCGCGACCCCTCTTTCTCTCTCTCTCTCTTTTCAGTCGCGAAAAAGAAGGCAACGACGACTCGTAGATGAAAGGAGGTTTCGGATGTTGATTGTCGAACCAATGTATTTTGTTCGGATGTTGATAGTCGAACCAAATTCATTGGTTTGATGGTTGATTTCCGAATAGAGGCGATTCTTTCGACACTGGTAGTCCGAATGGTAAGAAAATGAGACGATTCCACGATGCCCAACGGGATGAGGAAGAGAGGCGGGAAGGCAATGGGTTCGTAGATAAAAGGGAGTTGCAGTAGTGGAGGAAGAGGTAACGGCGGCAATGAAGGAAAAGAGAGGCGGCGGCCATAGAGGATGGTGGTGAGTGATGGTTAGGGTTAGGGTTAGGTTTTTGGTTGATAGTTAGGGTTTGTTTGAGGAAGAAAATGGTATTTTGGTAGTTTTATTTTTAGACTAAAATGTAATAAAAAAAATCCGTTAAGTGTGTGTAAAGAGAATAAACGATGTGTGCAAATAGAAGCTTCCATGCTTTAAGCAAACGTCTATTTGTAATTTACCCTTCTAATTTTATTTGGTTGACTGGAAAATTCAGCCGGAATTGTTCCCCGGCCCTATTGGTTCACTCACCAAGAAAACGTCTTCTTTCCCTCTTAAATCTCTCTCTCTCGTTCCCTCTCTCCAAAAGCACTCACACACACATCATATATATCTGCACATTCATTTTCAAGAATGTGTATTACTTACATATATCTGAGGTTTTAGAGAGAGGGAGAGAGAAGGAACAATGGATTCGCCGGAGTCGGCGACGAGTCGTGCGACGGGTCGGTCGTCTGTGATCGAATCGATCAGGGGTTGTACGATGGCAGGGATGAGAATTTCGAAGGAGGAACTGAGATTGAAGATTACGATGCCCCAATACCTGAGATTGGCCATGAGGGATGCGATTCAATCCAAGGATGTCACCGCCGGAAACCGCCACTACGCCTCCACCGCCGTCGCTGGCGAGGCCGCTCAGCCCCCTGAATCGCCGCTCGTCGTGTTTATTAATTCCCGGAGCGGTGGTCGTCATGGCCCCGAGCTCAAGGCCAGGCTTCAGGATTTGATGGGCGAAGAACAGGTCGCTCTCTCTCTCTCTCTATATATATATATATCTGTGTGCATATAGGTATAGTTGAGCACAAATCATCTGAAATGAAATAGAATGTAGATTTAGAGAAAGAAATTGAAAATCAGAGGGGCAATTATAATGCTGCTATGAAAATCAACTTAAATGTGGAAGGAGATTTTGTTTTGTTTTGTTTTGTTTTGTTTTGTTTTTTTTTAAATAGTTATCAAAATTTGAAATTTAAAATTTAAAATCAAAATTGGAAGTAGTTATATAGAGGCAGGCAATTTAGGAATTGAGAAAAAGTGTGATAATTTACACCGACAAAGTTGTGGGCTTTATATGATAGTATAGATTATAGAGATAATTACGTGGAGCTGAGGCTGTGCAGTGATGCAGGACAGTATAGTATAGATAATAATCCTTGAATTCCTTTTGAGACTACCTAAAACTAAAACTTAAAGTGGTAGTTGCATTGGTACTTAAAAGGACTAGTGTTTGAAATTTGCTGAAAAATTGAAATAAAAATAAATGATAACTTTGTAATGGAAAGAGCAGGAGTTAAGATTGGACTAAGGCTGAAATGACAACTGGAGCTATTTGGGCCGAGATGGATTCTTGTTGTTCACATTTTTGGATTGTCATTCTGTTGTTTTGTTGTTGCCGTATTTGGATTACGCTATGAGGAGACCATTGATAGGATCGCTGTGGTTCCCTCTTAACCTAACTTTTGGGCTCAAGGTAGATGAAATTCTGCTTACAGCCAAAAATTGGAAAGAAAAATATTCAGATAGACATAACTGTTACTTGTGTTGCCCGCGTATTGTTTCTCCTATGGATGTTTAATGTGGTTCTGCCGTTCAGGCATTAAAGTTTTTCTGAAACCAGTTGCTTTGATTATAACTTAGTTCTCGTATATGTACATACACACTATAGTTTCTGTTAAAGCATTAACTCAACTCAACAGGTCTCTGCGTATTAATATAACTTTGTGGTTTAATTTTAATGAAAAACTGTAACTGTGTACCTTGTTTTTTTTTTTTTCCTTTTTCTTGCTAGGTTTTTGACCTTCAATCTGTGAGGCCTCGTGAATTTATTCAATATGGATTAGGTTGCCTGGAGAAGTTGGCTGAGATTGGAGACTTGTGTGCCAAAGAAAGCCGTGAAAAGCTCAGGGTTGTGGTATGTGCATGGGCTGATGAATTGCTCAGTTTCTTGTTTATGAAACAAACTTTTTAAATTTTAATTTCTCACTTAACTGGAAGCAATCATTGTGAAGACATATATGATAGTTTTTTGCATGACCAAAGGATCCTGAATTTTTACATGGGAAATAGTGGGTTACTAGGTTAGTTTGACAGGTTGCAGGAGGTGATGGCACGGTGGGTTGGGTCCTAGGAAGCCTAGGAGAGCTTTATGCGCAAGGCCGGGAACCAGTTCCCCCAACAGCAATTATTCCCCTTGGTACAGGAAATGACTTGTCTAGGAGTTTCAGTTGGGTAAGCTTGTTTGCGTCAACTTCGGTTTTTCAACTTCTGTCCTATCTTGTTGAGTGATGCCTTAAATTTTCTTTACAGGGCGGTTCATTTCCTTTTAACTGGAAATCAGCAATCAAAAGAACTCTTGACAAGGCCAGAACAGGTCCAACTTGCCGTCTAGATAGGTTAGCATTATTTTCTTTGAAGTTCTATTTTCTGGTTATTGTGCCTTAATATGTTTTTATATTGATGGTGCTGGTAATTTCAATGCCATGTCATTAGGAAATCAAATATTGCTTCAAATGTTCTTTCTTACAACCATTGGTTTCCACCACGTTCATGTGCAAATATTGAATGTCTGATTGACTTTTTATTTCCAATATTTGATAAGTAAAATTTACTAATATTAGTGCCACTTGGACATCTGAGGTGGTATGAGGCGAGGCGAGGGCTCCATCGAAGTGAGGCAAATGCCACAAATAATTGAACTCGAATATGGAGCTGCTAGTTAGCTTAATCGATAAAGTCACTTAATAGTATAGTAAAAACTTACTTCATCTAAATTTTAGAGGTTATGGGTAGGAAAACAACTACTCCCATGAACCAAACAATACTATTGAAAGCAAAATACCTAGTCCTCAACCAAAATTTAAGTGGTGGTAACATTATAAAGGTCGGAAACAAGGGCTTGTTGTGAGTAGTGAAGAACTCACACCTGTGAGGGAGGTACACTCGGAAAACAAGGACTTGTTGTGAGAAGAGTCAAAGCAGCTAGAAGCTTGCTGCAAGCCAGCAAGAGGAGTTGAAGAAGCAGTTGTGAAGTCGTTGCTTGTTGTGGTCAGGTCTCTTTGCTTCTGATGAAGAACCCACCTGTGAGGGACGCTTGGAATAGGGGCTTGTTGCAAAAGGAGTCAAGCAACTATGAAAAAGGTGCTTGCTGAAGTCTGTGAAAGGAGTCGAAGAGGCAGCTGTGAACTGGTTGCTTGTTGCGCTCAGGTCTTTTTGCTTCCAATGACTTCGTTGAGTCTAGGGTAAAGTTTGGATTTCATAGATAGTGTCGTTGCTTGTTGTGCTCAAGCCTCTTTGCTTTTGAAGTCTTTCATTGAGTCTAGGGTAACGTTTAGATTTCATTCAAAGCTTATAGCCTTTTATTTTGTATTAGATCTCTTTGGTACATGTGATAAGTGATCGAATTAAGGCCCAGATTTGCATGTCAAAACAATCAAAAGGAAAAAAGAGAGGTTGTTGCCTCAAGTGCCTTTCACTTTTACAGACAACGTAGTCTATGCCCTCTCACTCGGTTTAAGGTACCTCGCTTCAGTGCAATCTAGGAAACGTAGGGTCGCCTTGCCTTGCCCCTTGCTTAGGCACTCACCTTTCAGAACACTAGGCAAAAGGAACGAACTGATATTATTTTACCAAAATTAAAATTAAAAAAGAAAATTTCTATAAACCTAAATTTGCTACAAAAAATATACTCAATAACTTCAGATAATGCTAGGAATTGTAGTAATATTAATGAACTTATTTCCTTGATCTGGTCATAAATTGAAACCTGAGACTTCTGCTTATCACGTATTATTAAATAATGTAGTTTATCTCCTAACAGATTACAATAAATAAAATATAATATCCAATAATTTATTTTCTTCAATGTTCTTTGTTTTCTTAAAATGCAATCATTTCAACAAGAAGAGTGTTTAGCTTGGCACAGTAGTAAGAGAGTCCATTGATTGAAGGTTGTACTTCAGTATAATATGGTACTTTTGTCAAAGTTTGAAGTAAAGGTTTTTGGTTACTAAGCAATGATCTCTCTCTCTCTCTCTCTCCCTCTCTCGCAATTTCAAGTTACCTGAAATGCTAAGCAGATTGAAATGATTGGAATTTGTGAAGTATTTTCCTAGTATAGAATGTCTCTTACCTTGTTACCTTTCAAGATGGGATGGACCAAAACAGGGTTGGACTGAATAAAATGGTAGTTAATCTTGAGGATATTAATTTGCATTAACATGCATTTCTTTGTATTTGCAAGACTATAGTTCACTACATCTTTCTTGTACTTTCTAAATTTTTTTTTTTTATATAGGCTTACATTTTTCATTTGAACAACACGCCTGAAGTATAGGTAGTACATGCCCACTAGCATAGGGTTTGTTGCTAGATCCTACTCCCAGCCTAGCATTCTTCTAAGAGCTAAGTATGCAGGGGATTGGATTGCTGCTCAGCAGACCTGTCTGAGCGAGCTAAGAAGACCAAGCAAGTGCCATGGAGAGTGGCTCTCAGCTAAGGGACAAGTGCATAGTTCTGAACACGCTTGATCAAATTGCTTGGCGACCAAGGAGACTTGGAGCTTGTCCTCCATGAGGAAGAGACAATGTGGGTGAGCAGAGAATCCTCGGCCTTGCCTTTGGGTGCTTCCAGCTGTCCAAGCAGTGCCATCTCCTTAAGTCCAGCTCTATGGCATTGTGCTCTAGCCTTGGCTAATGTGGCTTGGCCTCCAAGGCAGCACATGGAGGTGCCTCATTGGCCCATGTGTCACCTCATGAGGCTGACGGCACCATGTTCGTAGGAGATGATGTGGAGGCATCATGGCAATGCCACATGGTGGTGCTGGACGGATGTACCTACATTTGCAATTCGTAGAAGCCTATATATCCAGTTTCAAGATTTTCAGGATAGAAGTGATGCCTTGTTCAATTCTTGATGGTCAACAAAGCATTATAGCCTATTCTTTCTGGAACACACTACTATTCTCCTGTATACTTGCATGTTACTAATTTACTAGATTAGACTTTGAACTTTTTGTACTGGTCGTAACATCTTTCATATACTTAGCAGTTCTGTGAAATATAACTTTGTTTTATGCAGCTGGAATGCTTCAATATTAATGCCAACAGAGGAACTTGTAAATCCACCCTATTCTCTGAAGTCTGTGGAAGAGTGTTCCCTTGATCAGGTGTTTATCCCTTGATAAATGCATCTTGTTTATCAGTGGTTTGCTTCTGCAGGACTACTTTCGTTTTATGAATGGAATTTTCTGTTAGTACAAACAACCATAGTGAAACCATCCTTGATACTTCTTAGTTCCTAGGATCTTGGGAAGAGATTAACCACCTAAGCATTTTTCAGAAGTCCATTTATTTATTTTTTCTTTTGTATGTTTTTGAACCTTGATGGGTTATGCAGGGATTGGAAATAGAAGGGGAGTTGCCTGAGAAAATGTCTTGCTATGAAGGAGTATTTTATAATTACTTCAGCATAGGTATGCCTCTTTGACCTTAAGAAATGATGCACGATTCGTATGTCACCTCTTATTTACTTGCTTTCGAGGCATTTGTTATCGTTCATGTTGTTTGGATGTAGGAATGGATGCACAAGTTGCTTATGGCTTTCACCATTTACGCAATGAAAAGCCTTACCTTGCACAAGGTCCCATTTCAAACAAGGTCTGACTCTGTCTCTTTCTCTATATATCTATCTATCTATCTATCTATCTTTCTATCTATGTGGTTACATGGTAATAATGCTCCTATATATGTGTAGCTTGAACCTACCAGGAGTTACTAAATTTTTAATGGCCATTTTGTTCAAAGAAACCATATTTATTGGAGAACGTGAAAAAAAAAAATGTACAAGGGAATATACACACACCAGGAAAACGCCATTGAAGGGGAAAAAAATAAGAAAGAAGAATCCTACCTTGTGGGTGAAAAAGAATAACAAGTAACATTTAAGGAGCTGACACACAAAGAAAGAGAAGGAATAGAGCTGTGACACTTGATTGTTCTTGGTTCTTTCAATTTACGTTATCAATAGGGAAAATAATTATCTTACTCTTTTAGTTGTGTTATGTGTTAACAGTTCCCGTTGCACTGGAGAACAGAATTTTTTATTATTTTTATTTTTATCATGCCTAGTTTTAAAAATTATCACTTGTCTAGCCTTCTGAATTAACATGCATTGTGACAAGTCCAAGAATGCAAGCACCCGGAGCAACCCAAAATAAGCTAGTCAAGTGAAATAATTGATGCCATAGGTTCAAAGTCACAGGGAAGTGCAAGAATAAATGATTAACAATCTCCCACCTTACAAGAATGATCCTTCTTCCCCTTTCCTTTCCTTCCATAAGGAACGTAGACATAGGCTTTTTAAATGTCAATTTTGAGAAAACTGTTTATTTGTTAATTTTGCAAGACTCTCCTTAACTACTTTCCTGTGGCACAAAAATGGTTTTAAAATTATTCCACAAATGGTTTTAAAATTATTCCATTTTGTAGTGTTATGTTCATTTTCACGGTTATCTAATATGCATTTTTTTTATCCCATCCTTGCTATCACTGTAGACTCTGCATTCTAAGTGCAAATAGCTTTCTTCTTGGTTAGGATTTCAACAATCACAATACTATTGCAATATTCTATGTCATGTTGAATAGCTTGTTATACATTGTTGGGTTCATAACTTAATAGCTTAAGTTTTTGGGAAAATTTGTAAATTAACACAGTATAAGAGCTCAGGTTGAGAGAGGTCTTGGGTTTGTCTCTCCATTAGCATTTTTTATTCTATCCCTGTTTGGTTCCTTTTTTGTTTGGTTGTTTGCTTCTCTTTCTGTTTGATTCTCCGTTTGTCTCGCCACGTGCAAGATGGGGTTGCATGTGAGAGAGGGTGTTGGATAGCTTGATATACATTGTTGGGTCCATAACCAAATAGCTTATGCTTTGGGGAAAATTGGTAACTCAACATATCCTATTGCTGCAATTGCTTTGCTTTGTTCTCTCTCTCTGATTTTTGCATTATTTGGATGCTCTCCAATTTTTCTGGATTGATTTTATTTTAACTGCTCTATATTAGTTGGATATGGGAATTAACAAAATTTGGGTATTGGATTTTTTTAATAAATACTGACATGTTAAATGCTTAATGTATTGCATATGGAGGATTTAATTACTGTGGCTTACACATACAAGATTTAAAGTGGTCGTTCTATTTTCACAGTTGATCTACTCTGGCTACAGTTGCAAACAAGGTTGGTTCTTCACACCATGCATGAGCGATCCAAGTTTAAGGTCAGAACTCCCTCTTGCTATTAACGATCTCCATGATATGACTTTCCATGTTAATGCATACGAAGTTGGGAACTTCTGTATGATGTTAATGTTAGAATAGGAATTAAGTTAAAATAGGAAAAACGTGATTGTGTTTCCTTATATAATGCCTATGGCACTCCTATAATTACTCAGTATTATCAATATAAAAGGGAATGAAGTCTACCTCATTCCCTAACTCTTTCTTTTCTTTAAACCTACATGGTATCAGAGCCAAAACCCTAGCCCTTCTTTCTCTTTCTTCTCTTCCGCCGCCGGCAGTCCCGTTTTAACAGCCCAATCACTGTAGACTATCACCCAGCCACTGTCGACCTTAACTTAGCCCACCTACAGGCCACCTACACCTCCGACACACTTACCTCAATTGTCGGCAGACCTCCTGGATTCTCCGACTGCCTCTTGGACTTAGTCAGCAGCCTCTCTGGTTGTCTAGGGGTCTGTCGGCAGTTCCTCTGGCCTCCTAGGGATCTGCTGGCAGCCCATCTGGCCTTCTTGGCCCTTGTCGGCAGCCCCTCTGGGCTTGTGAGCTTCTGTCATGGTCAACTGGTCATCTCTCCTTACGTCTTCTGTCGTCTCTCTCTCTGAGTCTGAGTCTGTAATGTTCTTTATTTAAAAGGTCATACTTTCAAACAAACAAACAAAAAAGAAAAAAAAGAAAAAATTAGCAAATAAATAAAAAATAAATTCTGGTGATGTAAAAAAACAAAAAAAAACTAGCTTCTTAAATTTTTATGCTTTTCTCGTTACTATTGTGCTTGTTCCTTTACCATCTTCTGAGTTTGTAATTGGTCCTGGGTTTGAGGGTTGCTTCGTAGAATTTTCATAGCAGATTTCACTAGTGAGTCAACAACTTCTCAGCCGCTTAAGAGCGAGAGTTCCGTTATCTCTTCTACTATGACAGATAATCTAATCCTGACCTTAAAATCACCACTTCTCTATTCAATGGTCAGAACTTTCTAGCGTGGTCTCAGAGTCTGATTATTTTCTTGAAGAGCAGAGAGAAGATGGGGTATGTTGATGGCCCGATATAGGCACCCAACACCACGGACCCGAGTTATGATAAGTTGGAGATCACCAACTCCCTCATTATGGGTTGGTTGATACATTCTATGGTCCTGGAGATCGAAGAGGGTTATCTCTCTATGGATACTGCATAGGATATTTGGGAGGCAGTGACTACCACTTACTCTCGGAAGGGGAACTTCTCCCAGGCTTTTGAGTTACGTCGCTCCATTGAAAGGTTTGTACAAGGTGAGATGTCTATCCTTCAGTATTTTACCTTCCTTAGCGATGGGTGGAAGTGACTTGATCACCTTCAAAATTACAAACCGGTCTGTCCCACTGATTCTGTTGGTTACCGGAAGTTTGTGTCACGAGCAGGTCTTCAAGTTCTTGGAAGGCCTAAATGTGGAGTATGATCCAGTGCGGAGCAGAGTACTTGGCATGGATGTGCTTCATTCTCTACAGGAAGTCTTTGCTTTTGTGTAGAATAAAGAGAGTTGCTGCTCTGCGACGCTTCCTTCTGCCACTATTGATCGCTCGGCCTTGGTTTCTGCACCTCCTCGCGATGGTGACCGTGTGACCTGTGGTTCTCGTCCTTTTTTTGAGAAGGATAATCTTTTCTGTGACTACTGCCGTCGATCCCGCCACACACGAGAGACTTGTTGGAAGCTGCATGGGATTCCTTCTGGTGGCCGAGGTGACCGTCTTGGTACTCGAGGGGGTTGGTCTGGTCAGTCTAGAGGCCAATGAGCCAATGCTCGGGCACATCTTTCAGACATTGTTGAGCCACCATCTTCTTCTCCAGTTGTCTCCCCTGCTACTGATTTTTCGGGGTTATCTGCCTTGGATTTTGAGATTGCTCGTCGCCACTTGCTAGACTGTCGAGCCTCCACTTCTGCTACAGGTGCACCCTCTTCTTCTTTTGCCAATTCGGGTAACCTGGCTTCCTTCCCATATGCATTGCTCTCTTATACGATTGTACTATGTATTATTGATTCTGATGTTTCCGACCATATGTCTGGCTCCTCTAATTTGTTTTCAGAGTATAACACCTCCCCAGGTCAGGAAAAAGTGCGTATTGCTGATTGTACTATTTCCTGTGTCCGGAAAAGGTTTAATTCATGCTACTTCTCTTCCTTTGTCCTTTGTCCTTTGTCCTCTATGTTCCAAATTTTAGTGTTAATCTTTTATCTTTGAGTCGTATTACCTGTGACTTAAATTGTAGCGTGACGTTTTTTCCTGATCATTGTCTTTTTCAAGACCTCATCACGAAGAAGAGGATTGGCAGTAGTGGGGAGGAACATGGTCTCTACATTCTAGATCAGACCGACAAGTTGGCTCATTCTTTTATTCAATTACCATCCACCAAGGACGACATTTGGCTGTGGTACCGTCGCTTAGGACATCTCTCTTTTTTATTACTTAAGCATTTATTTCCTTCTGTTTTTGAGGAAAATAATGTGTCAGATTTTCAATGTGAGTCTTGTCAACTTGGAAAACAACACAGAGCCTCTTTTGCTCCTATTAATAAAAGTTTCGTTCCATTTTCTTTGATTCATTCTAATGTATAGGGTTCATCTCGTTTTGTGTCTTTAACTGGTCAAAAATGGTTTGTTACCTTCATAGATGATTGTTCCCGGGCCACTTGGGTCTATTTGATGAAAGATAAAAGTGAGGTATTTTCTGTGTTTCAAAACTTTAATCAAATGGTTTGTACTCAGTTTGGGGCGGTTGTCAAAATTCTATGTTCTGATAATGAGGGGGGGAGGGGAATATATTGACTCTGGTCTTGCCACTTACTTCACCACTCATGGTATTATTCACCAGACTTCATGCACTAATACCCCTCAGCAAAATGGTGTTGCAGAATGCAAAAATCGTCATCTCCTTGATGTCGCCCGTTGTCAATCCTTTGAGATGCGGGTTCCTTGATCCTAATGGGGGGAAGCGGTTCTCACTGCCGCTTATTTGATTAATCGTCTTCCTACCCAAGTCTTTCAGAAACAAACAGCTCTTCAAGTTTTGTTTGAGTCAACCTCTTCCGGGTTTTCCATTTCTCCTAAGACTTGTGGCTATGTTTGCTTTGCCCATAATCATTCGCCCACTCGTGGTAAATTAGATCCTAGGCCCTTTAAGTGTGTTTTACTGGGTTATTCTGCCACCAAAAAGGGTTATAAGTGTTATCATCCTCCCACTCGCAAATGGTTTGTCTCCATGAATGTCACTTTCTTTGAGTCTTAGCCTTACTTTCTGACCTCCCCGGTATCACAGTCATCCCTTCAGGGGGAGTTTTGGTGTGAAGAGATTCCTGTTCCACTTCCGCAGATAGAGGATGATAAGCCAGCAGAGCAGCTGTTGAGGAAAAGGAAGCAGACAAAGTTTATATCAGGGACAAGGCTAGACAGCAAGTCACCTGGATGCAAGAGACTATTTTCCTTCCTATACTGCCAACTTCTCCAGATAAGTGTCCAGTGTCAAACCCCTCTCCTGAGAATCCAGGTAATTCTGATTGTAGTGCTCCTATTCCTAATGTCTCAGATCTTGATATTCCCATTGCTAATAGGAAAGGGGTTAGGTCATGTACTCAGCATCCTATTACTAATCATGTCTCTTATTCTAATCTGTCTTCGTCATATAAAGCTTTTCTGTCTAAAGTGTCTTCTGTGAGTCTATCTACCAATTTTCAGGATGCTTTCTCTATTCTTAAATTGAAGCATGCTATGATGGAAGAGATGAGAGCTCTTAGCAAGAGTGGCACTTGGGAGTTAGTGGAGTTACCTAGAGGCAAAAGTTCAGTAGGATGTAAGTGGGTGTACACGGTAAAACACAAAGCAGATGGTTCTATAGAATGGTACAAAGCAAAACTGGTTGCTAAGGGCTTCTCTCAGACTTATGGGGTGGATTACCAGGAGACATTTGTACCGGTTACTAAAATGAATTATGTGAGAATCTTAGTTTCTTTTGCTGCAAATTTGGATTGGCCACTTCATCAGTTTGATGTGAAGAATGCCTTCCTTCATGAAAATCTAACAGAAGAGGTCTATATGGATATCCCTCTTGGTTTTGCGGATGCTAAGTCTAACGGTAAAGTATGCAGGCTCCGAAAGTCACTTTATGGACTAAAGCAGTCTCTTAGGGTTTGGTTTGAAAGGTTTGTTCAAGCTATGCTAAAGTATGGGTTCAAGCAAAGTTAAGTTGATCACACCTTGTTTGTGAAACACTCCTCACATGGTAAGACCACAACTTTTATTGTTTATGTTGATGATGTTGTTCTGACAGGAGATGATGTGGAAAAGATTCCTTGTTTGAAAGACTACTTAGCCAAGGAGTTTGAAATCAAAGACTTAGACTATTTGAAGTATTTGTGGGCATTGAAGTAGCTGGGTCCAAGATGGCATCTTCATATGCCAGGGGAAGTATGTACTTGATTTACTAAAGGAAACTGGAATGCTTGGAGGTAGACCATGTGATACATCTCTAGAATCGGGTCAGAAACTGAGTGAGGATCAAGAGGGAGATCTAGTGGACAGGGAGAGATACCAGAGATTAGTGGGAAAACTCATATACTTATCCCACTCACGTCCAGACATTGCCATTGCCGTGAGTATTGTGAGTCAGTTTATCCGAGAACTTCCCACTTAGAGGCAGTTATGAGAATCTTGCGATACTTGAAAGCTTCTCCTGGAAAGGGTCTCTGTTTCTCAAAACATGGCCATCTCAGTGTGGAGGCATTTACTGATGCAGATTGGGCTGGATTCGTCACCGACAGACGATCAACTCCCGGATATTGTACATTTGTTGGTGGCAATCTAGTTACATGGCGAAGTAAGAAACAGAATGTGGTTGCTAGATCTAGGTTGAGGCAGAATTCAGGGCTATGGCTTAGGGTGTATGTGAGTTATTATGGATTAAACTATTGTTGGAAGACTTAGGGATCTATCAAAATGACTCCATGCAAATATACTGTGACAACAAGGCCGCAATCAACATAGCTCATAATCTAGTTCAACATGATAGAACTAAGCATGTGGAAATTGATAGGCACTTCATCAAGGAAAAACTCACTAGTGGTATCATATGTATTCCATTTGTGAAGATTGGAGACCAACTAGCCGATGTTCTCACTAAGGGGCTAGGGAGCAAACAATTTCATTGCATTCTCAACAAGCTGGGAATGAAAGATATTTTCGCATCAGCTTAAGAGGGAGTATTAGAATAGGAATTGTGTTTCCTTATATTATGCCTATGGCACTCCTGTAATTACTCAGTATTATCAATATAAAAGAGAATGAAGTCTCCCTCATTCCCTAACTCTCTCTTTTCTCTAAACCTATAGTTAATATACCAAGAATATTCTTTTATTTCTTTTTTTTTTTTCCTTTTCTTTTCTTTCTTTTTAAGTATAATTATAATTATTTTGTACTAACCAATACACATACAGATTGAAAGAAGTGTGTCAACACTTGCAAAGCATATATTTACTAAGTATAAAGCATATTGCCAATAATAAAAAGTACGAAGCATATTGGTCAAAGTGTATTCACCAGCCTATGTTACACGGACTCTTCAAAATAAATCAAATACCTGTGTCGGACACTCGACACTCAGACAAGGGTATGGGATATGTGTCAGATACTTTTCAACAGATACTTCTTATATAATTGTATATAACACTATTATTATATGTACATGTTGTATTATTGCTATAAATGTCATTTTGACACTGTAAGTTACATATAGTACCATTTTATCTCACATACTAGATTAAAAATATAAAAATATGACCTTTTTTGGCCGAGTCCGCATACCCTTAAATTTATGATTTGATGAGTCCGACCTTTAAATACATACCTGCACCCGACACCCGTATCCGAGTTCATGTAACATAGTCAAGGCACACTCGAGAAGTTAAAATTATGAAGTCATAAATGGAATGAAAACAGGCTAATACCTGAATACAAAGTCATATTTATATCATTTTTAATTGTTAGAACTAAGTGGATTTTGGAAATGAAATTGACAACATATGACAAAAATTTTCTATACCTCATCCAGAATTCCCTTACTGAAGACCTTTTGCTTAACTCAAGGTTCTATTAATGCATTACCAACAGAACTTTTCACTTTATTTTATGTTCCAACTTTCCACTTTGAAGAAATTTTATGGCAAGTGCTTATATCAATGGCACTATTCATCTGATACAATATCAAACCAAATCTTTCATTTGAACTGCTGTTTTGCTATTTCTGTGTATAGACTTCATATTAGTCATGGTCTTTTCTACTAGTTGCTTTGCTTCGCTAAAGTATGCTAATGTGCTATTGTAATGTCTAGGCAAAGTCTAAACATTAGTTATGCTACTTGGTCACTTTATTATTTTTTCTTTTATTTACTTAAATTGTTACTGTTATACATGTTATTGAGATAAAGTTCATATAATAGAAGTTCACTGCATGCTTTCCGTTTATTGATTATCCAATCTGGTCATGTCAACTTGAGGTGCTAGCAGAGGTGTACTAGGTATATGAAGAGCCATACTCTGTCTCAAACCCGTGTTTCATGATGCTTAAAATGAGCTTTTGTCTTGCATCAATGGTAAAAGCATTACTCTATATTACTAACTATGTAGGTTTTGTCTCTTTTGTATTTTATAGGATGTTTAAGATTTAGAGAGATTAATGGTCAAGGCTTTGGAAGTTACATGTTGGCTTGTGGGTTGTATAAAATGCCTTGCCTTAATCTTTTGCTTTTAAAAGCTATATTTGGACAGTGTAATCTACCAAAAATATCTATCATGTAATGTATTACACGCGTAATATATATGTTTGGCAAGATTGTAAATTTGCTGTTTCAGAGCAGGTACAAGGACGCGTATTGTGGAGATATTCTTATGATATTTAGGACATTGTTCATCTTGGCAACATATATTGGATTCTTGTCAAATAAACCTATATGAAAACATTTTCAACACTACTAAGAACTTGATAGAGAGATAGTTATGTTTGATCAATAATGTTTATACATGCAAGATTGTTCATACATTTAGGTCAATGAACTTGTTACGCAGTTAACGTTTGATTATTATTTCCTCTTATCCATTTGCATGCATGCACCCACTAAAACAATAATAACTATATGTTGTTTAATTAAGTAAATTTATATAGATACACAGTCATGACTGTGTCTGATTTTTGGTGAGTGCCATGTTGGCATGTCCAACTTCCATCTGTCTGCTGAAATACAACATATGTGTTTGTGCCACAAAATCATATTGTTTTTTTTCGTTTAGTAATATTACGTGTATACAATTCTGGTTTCCTTCCCTATCTGGAATTTGGGCTTGCATAATCAAACCTTTCATAATATTGATTACCTCTTCACTACTTATCTGCATTCTCAACAACTTCAAATTGCAGGGGACTCAAGAACATTGTAAGGATGTATGTTAAGAAGGTCAATTCCTCAGAATGGGAACTAGTTTCAATCCCTTCAAGGTTAATTTCATTAGTTTTTTTTGTATGTTGCTTTACACATGTTACAATCAGGGCGATGATTGGTTTCTGTATGTCACTGTTAACCATCATGTTCTATAACTGAAGGTTTTTATTTATTTATTATTATTGTTTTTGTAAGTGCTTGTGACATGATTTAAAATTCTTATATATTGGATTGGTTTTAACCAAGTATCCGTTATCTTGAGTTTTTCCCCAAAGTTATATTGCTAGTCGACATAATATCACACATTTAGCATATTACTAATTAGGGGTGGGCATGGAGTAGGTTGGGTCGGCCTTGCAGCCTTGCACTACATAGTAAGAGCATATGTGTCATCCCAACCCCAGCTCGACCTGACATCGAACCTAATATTCTCATCTCAACTCGGTCCTCAAGGAACTTTTAAATCCTAAGTTCATCCACTTAACTTTATTGGGCTATTATTTATTTTTGTCATGGAAGGTATTAAATGAATTCAGCCCTTTTAATAATTATTTGAATTTGGGCCATTTACAAAATCTAACTGTTAAATGAATTTGGGCCTTTTAACAAATGTTTGAATTTAAGCCCTAGATTCATCCACTTAACTATATTGGGCTATTATTTATTTTTGTCATGGAAGGTATTAAATGAATTCAGCCCTATTAATAATTATTTGAGTTTGGGCCATTTACAAAATCTAATTGTTAAATGAATTTGGGCCTTTTAACAAATGTTTGAATTTAAGCTCCAGAAAGAAGCATATATGTATATATATATATTGTACTTACTTATCTTTATTAGTTCTCTAGTTTATTGTGTAACTTGTAGAAATTTAATGTATAAAGAGAAATGATTGTATTATTGATTGTTATATTGATATATTACAATGATTCCTATATATAGAAGAGAGGATGTGGGAAGAGAATAGGTGAGTATGGAGTAGGTGAGGAGTAGGTGGAGAGTAGGTGAAGTAGGTGAGTGTGTAGTAGGTGGTAGTGGTAGGTGTGTACTAGGTGAATTTTAACATAACTAAACAATATACAAAAAATATATCTTTTCATAAATGACCAGGTCAGACCGAGCTAGAATTCTGTACTTCCAAGGGCAGCCCAAAAATTAAACAAGCCCAAAATCCCAGCCCAGTCCAGCCATATGGGCCAAATATTTATATCAAGTCCTAACAAAACCGGGTTGGACTGGGTGGGCCACCGAGCTCATGGCCAACCCTACTAATAATTTTCTTCTTTTTCATGTTTTCATTTTTGGAATTTTTTTTCAGTTTAATTTGTCCTGACAGTTTCTTTTTTCTCCAGTGTTCGGTCAATAGTTGCTCTAAATCTTAATAACTATGCAAGCGGAAGAAATCCATGGGGTAATCTGAAGCCAGAGTATTTGGAGAAGGTATCATTTACTGGCCATGTAAAATGGCATAGTGCTATTAGCACAATCATGATGCATTATGGTTGCAGTTTGGTTGCTCTTATCAAAGTCAATGAAAAATGCCTGTATTAGCTAAAGCATATGTACATGAATAAACCTTTATCTGACACGTCATATGGAGAATGCAAGGAGTTGGGCTGAGGACAAGTGCTGTTTTAAAACCTATAAGAACATTTTAAATTTTAATTATAAAGCTGACATTTGGAACAGTGTCCAAGCTGACTCGTGTTCGACATGGACACACCACTTTTGTAGAAATATCTGTGCTCCTTAGTTGTAAACCATAAACAATGGCAATGTCAATGGCAATGGTAATAACCTATCTACTCTCTCTTTCTAATCCCATACTCCCACCACACATGCACACAAAAACCAAAAAGAAACCAAAAAAGGGCGACCCAGTGCACGAGGCTCACGATCAGAAGTACAGATAAATTAAAATTAACTTTGTCATGTATAGTTGAGAACCTGTCAGCTGCTGAATTTTTGAGATAAAAGGCTATTTGAAGTGTTGCTAGTAGTTAGTTAATACCAAAAGGTAATTGTAATAGACAAAAGGATAATTAGTCTCTACATGCTTGATCAACACTCAGCAGTTGAACATCAAGTTCTTTTGTTTGCAGTTTTAGAGTGAAAGAGTTTCTACAATTGATGAATATGTTTAGCTTAGTAGGATTTGGTGATATAGTTTTGCACGAAATCCTTGTTTTTTTATGTTTGAAATTTAGTATTTGAATTATCAACGGCTATTATTATATTTGTCACATATATTTCTTGAATAAAAGGCAATCAGTAGAAAATTGCCGAACAACTCCAGCTCCATTGCTACTAGGTCGGGTGAGTCCAATTAGCCCTGTGGTAATTATTGACACCATTTTTTAAATCCTCACAACACCAAAATGTGAATTTTTGTATAACAATTATACCCTTCAGAAAAATTACATTTAAGGACAATTTATTTTAATAAAATTCTTTTAATACCCCCCCCCCCCCAACCCCCCCCCCCCCCCACCCCCCCCTTCGGAGGTTTTGAAATAGTTTTTTGCTCATATTTTATGTGGTTATGATCCTTCAAACATATGCATGCATTTTTGTTCTCTTCTGATTCTTCTCTATGGATTTCTTTTACGCTGCATTTACAGCTGCGAATTACATTTCTGGTATAGAATCATATCCTGTTGTTATTTTGTTGTAATGTGATGATAATATAGAACAAGAACTCAATACTGCTTGCTCCATATACTCTTTTAGAGAAACTAAGTTGAATCTCCAGCTAAAAATGGTGTTTCTGAAATTGTTTCTTTGCTTAACAGAGAGGCTTTGTTGAGGCTCATGTTGATGATGGTCTTCTAGAAATTTTTGGCCTAAAACAAGGATGGCATGCTTCCTTTGTTTTGACTGAACTTATTTCTGCCAAACACATCGCCCAGGTACTGCACATTGAAATTTTCTTAGTTCCATTAAAGCAGGTTCAAGGAGTCCGGCTACGGACACACCATTTTCTCCAGCATTTTCTTCTAGAAAATGGTGCATCTCTAATATTATTGTGGCTCAATACATACTCAACATGACACTGGTACCACATGTTAGATTATCATGGTTCATTGTTGTGGCAGAATCATTCATTACTGGTTGTTCTATAAGGGAAAAAAGAAAAGAGTAAGATATAAGGTTGCCATCTCTGGAAACTGTCTTCTTTCGCATCCTTGATTCTTAATTGGTGGGATTTTTAAATTATGACTAAACCAGCAGGTATACTATATTGACCAGAATTCGTATTACATAATTTCAATCTCCTTGTGATGCACGAGGTGGATTTATTTCAATTGTTTTTATTGAACAACAATGGATTGTGTAATCTGAAAACTTAGTTAGGAACTAAGTACCGTATTATTCAATTGAATAGAAATGAATTACTAGAAATACATATATAAGACAACTATGCTAACCCTAATTGCTACCAATGACTAAACTACCCTTTATACACATATGCTTAACACGCCCCCGCAAACTCATGATGTAACAGCAGGAAGCATTGAGAGTTTGTCAAGCAAAAAATGGAAACGCATGATAGTATGAGACTTGGTGAAGAAATTAGCGAGCTGCATAGTAGAGGAGACAAAGGGCAAGGACAACGTGCGAAACTGTAAGTGATGGCGCACAAAGTGACAGTCAATCTCAATATGTTTAGTCCGTTCATGAAAAATAGAATTATGAGCAATTTGCATGGCACTGGTATTATCACAATACATAGGAGTAGGACTAGGGACGGAGACACCAAAATCGGAAAGCAACCAACGCAACCAGACAATTTCAGCAGTGGTCGTAGCCATAGCACGATACTCAGCCTCAGCAGAAGATCAAGCAACAACATTTTGCTTTTTGCTCTTCCAAGAAATAAGAGAACTACCCAGAAAAACACAAAAACCTGTAGTAGACTTACGGTCCATAGCATCACCAACCCAATTAGCATCAGAAAAAGCACGAAGATCTAAAGAAGAAGTAGCAGAGAACAATAAATTCTGATGCAAGGGCCCACGAAGGTAGCGCAAAATACGAAGAACAGCAGCCCAATGAACAGTAGTCGGGGAAGAAACAAACTGATTGACAATATGAATAACATAGACAATGTCGGGCCGAGTAATGATAAGATAGACAAGGCTGTCCACTAGAATCTGATATAAGGTAGGATCAGGCAAAGGGACACCGTCAGTGGAAGTATAGTGCACACTAAGTTCGAGAGGAGTGTCAATAGTGCCGTAGTCGGTCAACTTGGCCCGCTGAATAACATCAACTGCATACTTGGAGTGAGATAGAAGATAACCCCGGGGCGAAGAGGCCACCTCAATGCCTAAAAAATAACGAAGCGAACCAAGATCTTTCATCGCAAAATGTTGATGCAAGTGAGTCTTGAGAGCAGAGATACCATCAAGATTGTCACTAGAGATCACCATGTCGTCAATATATAACAAAAGAATAATGAGCCCTGCAGAAGTGGAGCGCAGAAAGAGAGCCGAGTCATGATCACTGGTACGAAAACTCAAGTCACAAACAACAGTAGAAAATTTCTCAAACCAAGTCCGAGGAGCTTGTTTGAAACCATATAAAGCTTTGCGAAGGCGACAAACTTCACCAGGTGCATGAGGGAGCCCAGGAGAAGGGACCATAAAGACTTCCTCAGCTTAGTCACCGTTGAGAAAGGTATTTTTGACATCCATTTGAGAGAGATGCTAGTGACGCACAGTAGCAACAACAATCAAGGTAGGAACAGTGGTCTTCTTGGCAACCGGAGCAAAGGTCTCTTCATAATCAAGACCATATTCTTGAGCAAAACCTTTAGCCACCAAACGGGTTTTATAGCCTTCCACAGAACCATTGGCTTTGGTTTTAATCTTATACACCCACCGACAACCAACAGTATGTTTACCAGAAGGCAAAGCAACAGGATTCCAAGTACCAGTCTTATATAAAGCAGAAAGTTCCTCATTCATAGCCTGTTGCCAAAGAGGGTCAGAAACAACCTCCTTATAAAAGGTGGGCTCAGAAAGAGAATGAATGGAGGATAAGAAAGTACAAAATTCAGAAGAATAACAAAAGTTAGAAGACCCATAATGAGTAGGACATGTACGTACCTATTGAGGATACCAAGAAACAGGAGCTTCATTAGCAGCAGGTAATGGAGAGACAGCCGGAGGAGGAAGGGAAGGTGTACCTGCAGGCAAAACATGTTGTTTCTTACGAGCATAAGTATGGATAATAGGAGGGGGGACAGTAAGAGTGGGAGACGAGGAAGAAGATGAGGGAATATCAGAAGGAGACAAATCGTGAACATAAGAATCAAAAGGGATAGCATCAGGAAAAGGATCGAGATAAATAAGATCAGATTTAGTGAAAGGAGCAGACGCAGAGGGAATAGAAAAGAAGGGGATATGTTCGAGAAAAACAACATGGCGAGAAACATAGAGACGTTGAATTGTGGGGTCATAACAGCGATAACCCTTTTGACCGTTACCATACCCAAGAAAAACACACATGGCAGAACGAGCAGACAACTTAGTACAGGTTGCACGATGAAGAAGGACAAAACAAGTACAGCCAAAAACATGAAGAGAGAAATAGTCAGGAGGAGTACCATGTAAACGTTCAAAAGGGGAAATGCCACAAGTCACTTGGGAGGGTATGCAGTTAATAATATGAACAACAGTAAGAAGAACCTCGCCCCAAAATGAGCTAGGAATAGAAGAAGAAATCAGCAGAGAGCGAGTTGTTTCCATGATGTGACGGTGCTTGTGTTCAGCCATACCATTTTGCTCAGGAGTTTCAGCACAGGAAGATTGTTGAAAAGTACCATTTGACTGTAATAAGTGAAGAAAATCACTATCATGATATTCCCCACCTAAATCACATCGAAAACATTTAATAACAGAAGAGTATTGGGTTTGAATCATGGCACGAAAAGCAATATAGATAGAGTAAAATTCAGACTAGTGCTTCATCAAATAAATCCAATAGTGACGAGTATAATCATCAATAAAAGAAACATAATATCGGGAACCCCTTTTAGTGGGAATGGGTGCAAGACCCCACACATCAGAATGCATAACATCAAAAGGTTTAGACGAAGTAGTGAAACTTTTATTAAATGGTAAAACAGTAAACTTTTATTATGACTACTCAAAAAACCCAAGACACCTGTAGAAACTAAATACTGTAAACGAGAACTAGACACATGACCAAGGCGAGAATGCCATAAATAAAAAACAGACGACTTAGGACTCAACCGAAAAGAAGACAAGTAACTGAAGATGCAGCAAGGGAAGGAACATGCAGCGTCTCCAGAACATATAAACCTCCCAACCTACGGCCGGTCCCAATCAGCTGCTTGGAATGAGGATCCTGCACAACACAATCAGATTCAAAGAAATAAGCACAATAACCAATGGCACAGACAAGTCCACTCGACTTCGACTTTAACTTCGCAAGGCACCAATGCGACTGTGAATCGCGACTTCGTGAGGCACAGACAAGCCCACTCGACTTCGATGCAAGGGTGTATAGCGGCAAATGAAGAGAAGCAACCATAAGTCTGCCTTTAGTTCATACCAACACCAACGTGAGGTTAGCTATCAAAACCAAGCTCTGATACCATGAAAACTTAGTTAGGAACAAAGTACCGTATTATTCAATTGAATAGAAACAAATTACAAGAAATATATATATATATATATAAGACAACTATGCTAACCTTAATTGCTACCAATGACTAAACTACCCTTAATACACATATGCTTAACATAATCAACTAGCATGAAGTATGAAGCTTTTGGCCAAAAAGTATGGGAAGCAAAAGATCATGATCTTCAACCCAAATAAACCCTAGCACACAATGAAGATAGTTTTGTTTTTATTTTCTGATATTAAGAGTACATAAAACATTGTGACAATCAAGTGCATTTATAGCTATTGCGGAGAACTGAAATTTCTATTATATATGGGGAGTTGATGACTTTGGAATGGAAAGTTGTATTTTTGTACTCTGGGGATTCGTGGACTTGGTAGCAACTCTGATGAACACTTCCCACTAAATTGAGGGCTTGAGGCCTCCGATTTTTGCGATCTATGGAAGATGACATAAAATGGGTGATTGAATCAGAAATCAAGCCCTCCCTCGCCAAGGTTATATCATATTGTTTTAGGGGTTGCACATCACGAATCCGGATTTTTGTGATTGATATTTAATAAGAAGCAGCCTGTCCTTATGATTCATGTTGTCCTCATTTGGGATTTGGAGTGTTCTTCTCTATTCAAATTATTTTTTGGCCTTCTTGAAGTTTAGAGCATTTTAACTGCGTTGAAATAATAAGAATATTCCCATTCCTAACATTGTAATTTGTAAACATCATCGTTTCTACGACTTTGTTGTTGCTAATTTAATGAATTCTGTGGCCATTTTGTAGGCTGCAGTGATACGATTTGAGTTCAGAGGTGGAGAGTGGAAAGAAGCGTATTTGCAGATGGATGGGGAGCCATGGAAACAACCGATGGACAAAGATTATTCGACGTTTGTGGAAATTAAAAGAGTGCCATTTCAATCAATTATGATCAATGGAGAGTAATTTCAATTGGATCTCTATGATTTGATTACCGGGAATGACAACTATTGTGATTGGAGTCCATGTAAATCATATTCGTCTCCTGATGGTTTCTAATTTTATGTCTGTGTTTTTAGTTACTAGGACCAGGGAATTGTTGTATCTAGTCCATTATTAGTCAATCCATTGGGAACAACTTGAGAATTATTTATTGTAAAATTCACCTTATCAGTGTTACTAAATGATTCATTGGTGCTTCAGTATATGTGAGGAAAGTATGTGGCTTTAGTGAAATGGATCTAGTAACTCTTTGGTTTTGCATAGACATTTGTGATTATTCACATGGTGATTGGCTTCATAATAATGTGAATTTACTAGTCTTGTAGCAGTTAATTTGTAGCATTTCCATAATGAAGTGGATGTATTAGTTTCTTTACACCAAAATTGTGAACCCCTCCAAAAAAATGGATAAAGTGGCAGTATCTCCCTCATAAAAAGTTCATATTACAAACATTGTGAAAGAAGCTTCAAAATTGAAGACCCTAGGTTTTTAGACTTCTAGATATAAAAGGATAATAGTTTTAGGTAATTTTGAAGTTCAGGGGGCAAAGTGCAAGTTAATCATAATTTAGGGGGTTTACTATAATTTATCCCTAAATCCTAAACCTTTTTTTTAAAAAAAAATTTAAGGATAAATTACATTAATCTCTCCTAAGATTTGAAAAAGATGCAAGCTCCATAGTTTTAACATAATTAAACTAATCTTTCTTTTTGGTTGTATTTGGTTGGATGATTTGATGAGAGAAATGAAAATGAGACTTTTCCCAAAGTAAGCCTACCCATTAAGCTTTTTCCCAAACTAAGTTTAGTTTGGCTGAAATTTTCAAAATAAGCTGAAGCGTGTTTACAAAACACGCTTTCAGCATATTTCTGACCCATGCATAAAAAATGAATAAAATCATAAAAGCGTGGTTACAAAAAACGCTTGTAATTAAGAAAACGCTGTTGCTATTAGCGTTTTTAGGCTTAAATAATAACGCAACGTAAAAATGTGTTTTGAAAACACGTTTTCAATAACACACAAAATCACATCACGCACTCACGCTCTCCTCTCTCTCTCTGACTAGGGCTGCAAATGAACAGAGTCGTTCGTGAACAGGCTCGAGCTCGGCTCAATAAGAGCTCGTTTGAACTCGGTTTGTTATTTTTTTTTTGCGTTCGAGCTCCAGTTCGAACTCATTAAATTTTTAATAAACAAGCCGAAACATTCTAAAGCTCGGCTCGTAAGCTCAGCTCTTTAGTTGGTTTGTTTAATATTTATTATTTATATATTAAATAATATAAAAAATATGTATAAAAAATAAGAGAAATATGCTATTTAAATATTTAAAAAATATAAATGTAAATAATAGTTAACTATAGATAGTACATTTATATAATAGTGGTAGTAGATATTATGATTTTAGTAAAATATGGACTTTATTTTTAACTATGTTTATATCTATTGTATATATAATTGCATAATCAAAATTTTAATTGTAACTTTAGTCTCACATACAAGTATGAATTTATAAATTTTTTGGCTCGTTAAGGCTCGTGAACAGACTCAAGCTCGAGTCGAGCTTAAGCCAACTTGGCTCGAGCTCGGTTTGTTAAATTTTTATTCAGCTCGAGCTTGAGCTCATTAAAATCTTAATAAACAAGTTCAACATAACAAAGCTCGGCTCGGTTCGGTTCCTTTGCAACCCTATCTCTGACACACACACCCACAACACTCACACACTCACATCAAACATATATAATTTTTAATATATATAAATTTTATTTAATAAAATTGAGATCAATATTAAATATATATAATAATAATTTATAATAGCAAATAATAATCAACTATATAAAATAATTAATTTTTTACTTTAATTCTTAAATTTTTTTTTTTATTTTAAGGTTTAAGATTTAGGGTTTAATTCTTAATTCTTATTTTATTTTAGGGTTTAGGGATAAATTTTTTTTTATTTTATTTTAGGGTTTAGGGTTTAATTCTAAAAACTATCATAAAAACTTGTTTGATAATTTTTTTAGTTTATAAATGGTTGTCTCAATTTGTAAATTTGAGAAAAAAACGTAAATTCAAAAAATGAGTTTTTTTGAAAAAACGTAAACTTATTTTTTGAATTTATTTGAAAAAAAATTAATTGAAAAAAAAAAATTGTTTGCAAAATTTTTAAATTTTTGTTTAAAAACCATTGTAAACTCATTTTTTGAATTTACATTTTTTCTCAAAATTACAAATTGAGACAACTATTTATAAACTAAAAAAATTATCAAACAAGTTTTTATGATAGTTTTTAAAATTTTTGTAAATATAAATTGAAAACTGAAAACAAAATGGTTACCAAACATGTCTCAGATGGTAAAAATATCGTAAAATTAACAAATAATTAAATAAGTTACCAACATAAAAAATGACTTATCAAAAAAAATTTAGGCTATGTATGGTTTGATTTTAAATTTTTTTTTTAAAAAATAAAATATTAATTTGGTTAAGAAATAAAAAATAAAAAAAAATTATCATTTAAGGGTAAAAAATAATTATCATTTTAACTTTTGGACAGGTTATATACATTCGTATGTATGGTTGTTTCAATTTGATTTGTAAAAAATTATTTCTAAAATTATATAAAAATGATTTATATTTACAAAAATTATAAAAATTATACAATTAATTATTATTTGCTATTATAAATTATTATTATTATATATTTAATATTAGTCTCAATTTTATAAAATAAAATTTATATATATTAAAAATTATATATGTTTAATGTGAGTGTGTGTGTCAGAGAGAGAGAGAGAGAGAGAAAAGAGTGTGAATGCGTAATGTGGTTTTGTTTTTTTTATTAAAAACATGTTTCCAAAACACGTTTTCACATTGTGCTTGAAAACGTTAATAACAACAATGTTTTCTTAATTAAAAGCGTGTTTCGTAATCACGTTTTTACAATTTTATTCATTTTGTGCGCCTGGGTGAGAAATTTGCTGAAAGCTTATTTTGTAAACATGCTTCAACTTATTTTGGGAATTTCGGGCAAGCTAGGCTTATTTTGAAAAAAAAACTTAGTGGGTAGGCTTAGTTTGGGAAAAGCCCCAGTGAAAAGGGGACAGACAATACAATTTCATTTTTTGTTTGGTTATAATGAAAAACATATAAAAAAAGAAAGTTTGAGGAAAATATAATCTCACTTTTTATTTTGTGATTCATGTAGACTCTTTTCTTTTTCTATTTCCAATTCAACTAAACATAACTTAGAATTCGAATTTTATCAATTGTTTCTTCTTTTCTTTCTCTTTCTCTTTCTATTTCTCTCATCAAATTTTCTAACTAAACATAACTTTTATACAAATAAATAAATAGAAACTAATGAAAACAGAGTACAAACATAAAGTAAAATATATATTTCAATATAAAAGAAATCATTTTTTTCTTCGATATGATCAACAAAATACTTATGAGAAACTAGTTACGTGTAATGTGAATTAAAACTATAGAGTCTAATATAATAATTATTTTGAAACTATAAATTTTACTGTAATTTCTTTAAATATCAAAGGAGGTCATTGCAATTTACTCAAAAAAAAAAGAGTAATGCTAGAGACCCCAAATATTCTACCAAAAATTTTACCAAATGTCTCACATGGGTGTGGGACCCACACAATGTGGGTCCCATGTGGGTCCCACACCCGAGACATTTGGTAAAACTTTTGATAGAATTTTTGGGGCCTCTAACATTTTTGAAAAAAAAATAAGAATCAATGTGAAATTTAAGTGTAAATTGCAGGGTACAAAGTCTAATTAACCCAAAATAAATTTCAAGTCGGAGTTGGGATTCTTCTCACAGAAAGACAAGAAAGCTCTCTGTGTTTTTGTTCGCTAGGGTTTGTCTCAAATCTCTCCAACGTTTCTCTACGTTTCTCAACTCTACAGCCATGGCGAGCACCAAAGTCCAGCGTATCATGACCCAACCCATTGTACATCTCTCTCTCTCTCTCTCTCTCTCTCTAAACAACAGATATGTATGTATATTCAACATATGTGTATTTATACTGACTAACTGAAGGACTTGTTCAAATGACAGAATCTGATCTTCAGGTTTCTTCAAAGTGTAAGCCTCTCTTTCTGCTAATATATATATGTATATATTGTGGGTTTGCTTTAATTTGTAGCTTTTCTTCATGGATTGTTCATAATTGGGTAATTGAATCAACGCAGAAAGCACGAATTCAGATTTGGCTATTTGAGCAGAAAGACTTGAGGATTGAAGGTCGAATTATTGTAAGTTTTATTTAAAATGTTTCAAAAATATATTTTAAGGGTTATTTTTGTATTCTGATTCAAATTATTGGAGATAATGTCTGCTTGGGCTAATGTGTATGTCTCTGTGATTTTCACCTCTTTATGCTTATATGCAAATTACTCGTGCACTACTTTTTGTGCTGGATCGTTTGGTTTGGTTTGGTCTTTTTTAAAAATTTTGTTTTATACATTTAAGGGCACTTGTTATTAATCATTTTAGCTGTTGTAGAAAAAATAAAAATTGAAAAATTGGAGTTGTGGGATAAGAAAAGAAGGGGTAGGTGAGGGCTTCTTTTGTCTTTTGTTGAAAATGAAATCATGGAATATATTTATAATTATTACCTAGGTGAGTAATGTTTTAGTTTTATAGCTTTTCGTATTGGTGAATGCCTGCTGCTCCATAAAAATTTGACGTTAGTTTTTGTGGGAAATAGAAACTTGTCTTTAGTCATCCTCTTGATGAACTTAAAAAAAAAGAAGTTAAAAGGGAATTTCACAATGTAGATAACTAGAAATGCTACTATAATAGATAATTCATAACAATAAAACAAACATAAGCCAATATTGTTCGGTACGATGATCCAATAATATTAGTGGCTAATAATACATGCTCTAATATAGTAACGTATATCATTCTGCTACATGGAATGGAAACACTAATTAAAAATTTAATAACGATTAACATTTTTATAAGTAGGATGAAAGATTAAGCTTGAATGTTGAAGTTTCAAACCCTAAATGAGATCTATGTATTTCAAACGAATGAAGAGAGAGCCCTGTATGACATCACATTGGTGCTGTACAGGCCGATATGGCTTTGATTTTTTTTTTTCCCGTGCTGATAGAAGCATGTGTATCCGAATCGGAGGTTCCAAATACCATTACGTAACAGTTGATACTATTACGTATTGGCGATATTTTAAACCATTTTACATATAGTTTACCGTGTGAACGAATAGATGAAATTGAAGAACAATGGTTGTAGTTGATGCAATACTCGAGAAAAGTTCAAAACATGAGCACAATGTAAACTCAAGGATGTCTAGGTTGAAGAATATTATTTGGGTAATTATGCCTCTCAGAAAAAATGCTCTGTGCTTCTTAGAGAAGCTGATCCTTGACAGCATGCAAAAGCTTAATCATGTAGCAAAATTCAAGAATTGAAAATTCTTAGTTAATTTTCCTTGAAAGTGAAGCAACTACTAGGGGACTTCTATTTAATTATCTACTTTTTTTTTTCTTTTTTTTTTTTAAATTTTATTTATTTATTTATTATATATAAAATCAGTTGCATTTCAAACAAAATAATTTGATAAGCATCCAATTAATAATCAGTAAAAAAGTATGTTGAACATCACGCTCTCCTTTAAAAATGCTCATGTAAGTGGTTCAACTTGCCTGGTTTTCTATACCTAGATTTCCACTTTCAATCATCATATGTTCAGTAGATGATGTTATTTCTCATGTTGTGCATCACGAAAGAGTGAGAAGAAAACCAAATAGCTTCCTTTTTGTTTAAGCAATGGTGGAGCCATACACATCAGGGCCAAGACGGGCACATGTCCCTAGATTTTTTATTTTTTATTATTTTTTTAAACTTGCACTTTAAGCTTTACGTGTTTATCAATTTATTCTTTTGAAGTTTCGAGTATACCCCCTGGATTTTTATTAATTCTCTTTATTTATTTATTTTTCTCAACAAAATCCATGTAATTTCACTTTAAATGTTTAATTTTGCTAAAATTTTCTCTTATAAATTTTATATTATTTTTCTCTTCTTTCTCATTTTTTTCTTTGCCTTCTTTATCTCTATTTTTTGTGTGTATCTTGGTATGATTTTGCCCTAATTTTTATGGAGGCATAGCAATCACATTTTAAATTAGGATGTGATCACCATGTTCATAAACTAAAATAGGAAATCGATTTAATAATAATAACAAAAAAAGAAAATAAACAAAAAAATTGATCTGTTAACTCAAGCATATGAAACATATAAGTTTGGCATGACACTGATCTTTAGTTGTCCTACGACCAATATGAAAATCAGATTCGGTTGGGTTGTGATAGATCTCAATAAGGTTTTAACTCAATGTTGCTTCCTTGAGCGAAAATCTTGGTTCCATCATTGCGCTCAAGAATTTGATCTAAATTTATTCTTCATCTAACCCTCATGAAATGAAAAATTTTATAACTAGCATCTGCTCCTGTCATTCCACTCAATTTGTATTCCAGGCTTCAATTATGATTCCTTCTTCAAGCTTCTCATTCTTAATTTTTTTTTTACATTTTGTAAGATGTTTTCTAGCACTTATAATCTAATTCACTTTAATAGTATAAGAAGGTATCAATATTCAAAATTTAATTAGAGCCTGATTCCAGTAATGCTCAATAAACATAGAATACTTCAGAAAACTCGAAAAAACAAGTATTGTTTGTGGCATCAATTTAGTAACGATGAAAGGTCCTGTTTTTGGCTTTGTCAAAGGTAAATTTAAAGTCATTTATATGCAGTGGTTGCTCGAAGACAAACTTCATCTTGTGCTCTGTAGGGCATTTCAATTGTTTCTGTTGTCAATTCTATTTGTTACCTAATTGGTCTACTGTTTTAGATTTTGAACATTTGCAATGTAGCATGTGAACTATAAGCTTTGTGGAATCTTCAGTCTTACTAATTGATCCATGTATGATCATTTGTGAAAGAGCCATCTTTCTCCCTCCATATTCCTGCCAAAAATGATGTTAATATCGATAGCATTTTTTCCCTCGTACAATTTACCAAAGAACCCTTGGAAAATAACATAAAAATGCTTACTTTGTGAAAAGGAAGAGGAGAAAGAAAACCTGTTCTTGCTACAGTTTCATTGCTCGTAGCCAACCCCCTCTATCTTCCTTGGGAAGATTTTGAAGGAGAGATTGAAGGCTTATTGGTGACTTTGAAACCAATTAATTTTGGATCTAGCCAACCCCCTCTATCTTCCTTGGGAAGATTTTGAAGGAGAGATTGAAGGCTTTCTGGTGACTTCTTTTTTTTTTTTTTTGAACTAGGCATACTGGTGACTTTGAAACCAATTAATTTTGGATCTGGGAATAATCTCTCTCTCTCTACTTTTCTTATTTCTTTCCCTGTTAATTATGACAGATTCATAATGAAATTGCCGTGGTCCTTGGATTTTGGCAATTTGCCTAATCAACCAATACAATTTTCAAAGTGCTGAAGCTTATGTTCCATATCAGCATGCCACTACTCATTTTGCACTTAGTCAACATAGAACACTCCAGTGTGTGTGCATGTTTTTTTTTTCTTTTTTTTTTTTGGACAATACAAGGGTTTTTGATTGACAAGCAACTGTAAATTATCTTCCAGGTCTACTTGATGGCCTGGAAAACCATCCAACTTCTGATTTATTCTCTGTTATTTTTTTTTTTTGGTAGCCTATCTTAATAACTATATTTTCCTTATGATTGAAGATGCCATGTAACTTTATACTTGTGCATCAACATCAGCAATGTTGCCAATATTACAACTGTACATACTTGTAAGCAATGTGTTCATTTCTATATTCTTTGGCATATTTTAGCTATATTACATAAAACAATTGACAATTTCTATGCTCATCTTGGATTTCTATAGCAGTTCACATCTCTTAAGATTATGTCAACATGGTGAAGGGGAAAATAAAACAAACATTAGCTGAGGAGAAAGTAATGTCATCCTCTGCTGTTTCTTTTACCTGTGCATATGGGCCTTAGCTCAAATTATTCTTCTCCGCATCTGTGTGCATCTCTTGGATGAGAGTTGTATGTGTAGATCTGGCTCCTATCTAGGTTATTTGCTTTGCTTTCGTACTTCTTTTTTGTCACTGGTCAAAATATTGTACCACAAACATGTGCACTCATGGACACATTCATGTGGGTATATATTATGGTAGGTTAAAACCGTTATTTAAAGTAACTTGATAGTTCTTCATCTTGTTTTTGGATCATGCTACCTCCATCTTCATATTATGCTATTGTAGTTTAATGTCTACCCTATTGAACTCTTGCATTTGCTGTAACCCTACCGATTCATCCCAAAGGTATGTTTGATTGAATTCAGTGTAGCATTCCATTTCAGTCTGTTGCATGATATTCTGTTATGTTGAACATGAGTGTACTTCATGTGTATCCTTAACTGGACAGATATCTGAGCTGTGATCAGTGTATTTAGGACAGTTTTATCTTATGTATTGCAGATTCTTCTTGATTTTATGTAGTGAAGAAATATGAAATAATGCATTAAAAACTAAGACATTCAAAGTATTAAATGGAAACTTTGGTTTTTCAATGCATGAATATCAAGAGGGGTATCAATCAAACTTAGGGGTGTTATGGGACTGGGTAAAAACAGAAATTAATCACTCAAACGTGTTTGGTGTTTATTAGAAATGAGCTGATAAACATTTTACTTTTCTCTTCTTCTTCGTCTTTTTATTTTTATTTTTATTTTTATTTTTTGACTGAGGATAAAAATCATTAAGACCTTCTATCAGTGGGCATTTCTTGAATTGTGGATATAAAATTTATTCAGTTTTTTACTTTGTGTTGTATAGGGCTTTGATGAATATATGAATTTGGTTTTGGAAGATGCAGAAGAGGTCAATGTTAAGAAGAAAACCAGAAAGTCACTTGGTGAGCCTTATCTATTTATTTATTGATTTATTTTTCACTTTTAATTTGGTGCTTCTGAACCCTTTTTTGCAATTTGTCCAGGGAGGATTCTACTTAAAGGGGACAACATTACTCTGATGATGAACACGTACGTCACCGAAATTTCGCCTCCCCCTTCTCTCTCTCTTTCTCTCTCTCATCATTAACTATTTTCTTTTGGTTTTCCAGGGGAAAATAATGAGCAGTCTGGCAGTCGTTATGATGATGTATCTTTCATAATAGGAAGGTTCCTATTCTTCTTCTGTTTCTATCCTTGAATTCAACTTGTGTCATTGACATCTTTTAGATGATTATATGGCTAATAGTTTGATATATGGCAACCCTTTTTATCCTATTTGGTTACACTTTGTATTTCCATTAGAGAGCTCTGACAAGTTCACCCAGCATGAACCATGTTGCGTTGTTTGTGTTTAGTATCAATTTAATCTTCCGAAAATCTAAATTACATAATGTTTGTTTTGCCAAACCGCTGGGATCTTTTTTATTAGAGAATAGATTGTTAAGAAATGTCTTGATTCATCTGCTTTGCCATGAACCTAGCATATGTTTAGGGGCTGTTTGGTGCAGCTTATAGAGCTGCTTATAACTTTAATTATTTTGGAAATCTGTGCAAGTGTTTTGTGTAGTTTTTGTTTATAACATATGAGGCAAAAATAATTTAAATAAGCTGATTATTGGGAAGTAAGGGGAGAGGTGCTTTTAGTTTCTGTTTTCTGATTATCAACTTTCAGCTTGCTAGAAGCTGCACCAAACAGGGCTTTAGTCAAGGGAGCATGTGGTTGTTCCATGGGCGTCAAATACTTTAGATTCTCAGAAATTTGTTCAGTTATGGTTTTTGGCCAAGTCAATTAGAAAAGCACTGGTATGCATGTTGATTCACTTTGATATATGGTTCATCACTCCGCACTTTGATCTTGTAGAAATGTTGATGTCTAATTGTTTTCAAAAGTTCCCTTTTTCTAGAACTTCTCGACACAGTATTTGCTTTTTAATTGTTTTTTTTTTGTTGACCGAATGCAGCAGATAATTTTAACAGGGTTTCTTGAGAGCTTAATCATTTAATTTTTTTCTTGTAAATAAAAAATGCAGGCTCTGAGAATCAGCTTCCTTTTTCATTTCTTGCTGGTTTTCTCAGTTACAAGACGAGTAAAAGAAGAGGAAGATAAATAGATGTACACAATATATTTATTCTAAGTTCGTATGAACTGTCTACTTTTTAACTTTTCCAAGAATGCCTCTGCCACCTAGTAACTGTTGCCGTTTCCCACCCAATAACTGTCATATTCAATAATTGTTGGAATGATTTTTCTTCTTCATCAAATCTTTCAAAAACTGCTAATTAATTTTTCTCAGTCATCAAACATTCTAAAAAATCAAATATAAAATTACAAGCGTATCACATTTTCACCCACTACTAGGTAGATATTTATGGTTATTTATATTTGATTGTCTGATTAGGTTGGGTTGAGTTATGAGTATGGTGTAATTGAGTAATGAGGTTACTAGTGTGGTGGTGTTAGGCCGGAGATGCAAGATAAATTGTGTATATTTGCACACTAGTGTAGTGATATTAGTTGGATGTGATTAAATTTATAAAATTATGTAAAAGCCCTTATTATATAGCAGTTGACTTTGTTGTTTTTTAAAGTGAGGGCAACATAGTATTTTTAGGAATTGGATTAGCAATGCCACCTCCCCATGGGAATGTTAATCCCCTCGAAGGTATTCATAGTCCTGTGAGACTCTCAGTCCTATGACATTTTTCTTAACCAAAATGTCTTTTGTTGGGCTTTCAGGATATGAGAGGGAGGGTGGATATCATAGGGTCAGTCATCCCACCAGCAAAGTCTTGAGTGGAAGAGGCTAGCATTATTGTGATTGGTAAAGAATAAGGAGGCCCAGGGTGAAGGAAGAAAGTGACTTTCAAGGTGGCGGAATTATAGGGTGCCCCAGGTTGAGTTGGGTTGAAGGTGATGGCTGGTGGCTGGGGGGCCTGAGGATGTGGTGGTGGATGGTGGTGGTGGATGGTGGTGGTGGTCGCTGTTAATTGTTTGATAGTAACTTGAAGGATCGTTTGTCTATTTACTGGGGAACTAGTGCCTTGTGAGATGGCCTTTTGTATTCCTTTTTATAATCGCTACCCATATGAAATCTCTTTAGGTGCCCTACACAATACTCTGATTGCTGACTCATCCTCCACAAGTAAATGCCTCTCTCTCTCTCTCTCTCATACATACAAAAATAAGAAAACCTTGTTTTTTTCTGTTTTTTGAACCTCTTTCATTTAATTTGTTTGTGAGAGAGAGAGAGAGAGAGAGAGACCTTGTATTTTTCTATTTGTGCTTGTTCTCAATACCTTATTCCTCAACCTTTTGTGTGAATAAATATGCGTAGGGTTTTAGAAGTGAAATCTCCATCCTTAGTTACCATGTCCGCCAGCCCACGTAAGCCCATGCCCACGACCACCACCGCCACTTCCAACACCACTGCTAATATAATTACTAACATATCAATTTCAAAATTGCAACCAAGTATGAGGGGAAATGTTTTGTATGAAAAATGTTTTAAGTGAAAAAATATTCTGTTGAAAAGTATTTTTTGCTGATAAAAAAAACAAAAAACAAAACCATTCACATCATTGGAAAGTGGAATGGCCTAGTCATTGGACGCCGATAACATCTTCTTTTCAAAGCATACTTGAAAACTGTGATGAAAATAATTCAAATTAGGGACCCTCCCTCTATTTTCAGCTAGCAGATAAGCTAAAGCAGTGCTGTTGTTGTCATGTGAAACCATGAATACACTAAAAATGCTTAATTTGATCATCAGCTACATGAAATTATGAGGATTGGGCACCACCATTATGTCAAGTGGCCTTACTAGGATTACTCTTAAACTTACTCTGATTGGCCCATTTGTTTATGTATATATATATATATATATATATTTATTTATCATCACATTATATCAAGTGGCCTTACTAGGATTACTCTTAAACTTACTCTGATTGGCCCATTTGTTTATGTATATATATATATATATATATTTATTTATCATCAAAGCCACACACATACCACTTCTTCTATGCTATATATATTGACTTTAGTCATAGTCTGGTGTGAGAGACATTGATAGTAGGAGTATTTTTGGTTCTTTCATTCTTGGCTTTTCTCAGGAAACAACCAAAGGTGAGGTGGAAAATCTTGTTGGGTTAATACCTTACTTCATGTTGGCCCCTCGTCTTTATTGGAGGGCCCTCTTTTTGTGATTGAAAGAGCCAAAATGCTTTGTATTTGTTGCTACTCTAGGGTTAGGCACATGCTGATGTGTGCTTATCAGTATCATTTCTGAACAGTGTGGGTAAGGTCAAGTCAGGTCAGTTCTTGTTGATATATTTGTAGATACAAAGCTGCTGAGATCATCTGTCCCTCTCTCCTCTTTTTGCCTGTTCCCCCTTTTCAAATTTCATCTTTGCCACACGATTAGGTCTCTCTTAGCTGATCGTGTAATAGAGAGGATTTGAGACGGGTGAATGATCATATGTTTCCTTCTCTCGTTTCTACTATTTATCTTTTCAAATCTGTCTTTTTCACACGATTAGGTCTTTCTAGTCTAATCATTCGGTAAAGAAAGAATTTGCGATAATCCGTCCTCATACAAAGCTATATATCCCTCATAATTGACACAATGTGCTGAACAAGCTCTTGGAAATGCAATGTAACTTACAATGCTGTGTGTAGTTGATGAGTAGTCATTTGATTAATTAATAGATTCCATATAATAGGTTGGCATGCTAACCACCACATTAATTTGATGATGTATGTTCTCACTAATATTTTTACTGTTTTGATAACAGGTTGTACTATGCAGTTTCTTATTTGTTAATTGTACTTAGCATTTGGAATTTTCTTTAATATTCCATATCAAAGAATAGTACCTTCCTATATGGTGTTACATGATATTTCATTATTGCTAGCCTTTGGCCATATCAAAGAGGTATCTTTTCTTTCTTTCTTTCTTTATTGCCATGTTTTTTTTCCCTCCATCTTGTTCTTAACATTCCATGACTTAATTTGCTAATAGCATTACCAAATTATCAAAGGGTTTTTAGCATAGAACTAGAGGAGGCTAACTCATTTATAGACGTCTTATTTGCCTTCTTTTTATGTCAAGTTGTTGTATTACGCAACAGTGACACTTGAATGCAAACATGAAGTTTAATAAAGAAACATGAGTTGGTTTTAGTAGTACCGTGTGAGATGGTATGGGACCTTTCCCTTAAAAGATACCTTTGTGTCCTTTGATTTCTTGAAAAAAAAGAAGAAAAGGTACGAGACTTTACCTTTGTGTCCTTTGATTCCTTGAAAAAAAAAAAGAAAGAAACTTTTTGGTGTGTTTGATTTTAATTTTTTGAATTCAGTTTTTCGTGTTTTTTTATTTTTAGTGAATATTTTTTAAAATTTAAGTAATTTTTTTTTTATTTTTTTAGATGTACTTTACTTAGATATATCTAAATAGTAAATTATTTGTGAAAAAATATTTTTAAAAATTAATAAATACACAAATGCGAAAAATATATTGAATTTATATATATATTTTTGTATTTTTTGGTATTTAGTGTATTTTTTAAAGATTTTTTTTTTTTTTTTTATAAATATTATACTTTTAAGTGTGTTTATGTTAGGTGTGTTTAAAAATTAAAAAAGAAAATTACTTATAATATTAAAAAAATTCATTGAAAATATTAAAATATAAAAAATAAAAAGGTAGAATTTTCTAAAAACCGAAACTAAATTTCCTTTGGTTCAATGTACTGCTAATTTGATATCAAAATTTTAGCTTCCTTACCATAAATTATGTTGTTGGTTTTGTGGTTTATAAACCTTTTCAAGTAATGTTGTAAGAGCATCATCGTTAAAATTGTTTTTTTTAGGTAAATTAGTAATATAAACTTCAAAAAATGGAGTCCATCAGTCTCGCTTACAGCTCGCCAAAATTTGTAATTGCTATAGTATCTCGTTACGACAAGTGAGGTACTGTTCATTGCTACTTGTGTGTTATCGGATGTTTGCCCAGAAGTCTGGTCGGTCAACCTATCGGTCAACGGCTTTTTTTTTTTTTTTACATTTCTTCCAATTTTACCTTTACAAAAGAACATAAGAATTGTTTGACTGACAGTTTATTAATTTAATAAAAAAAGAATAACAAATATTTTAATAGGATTGAGTTAGAATAGAAAGTTTGATGCAGTGAGGCGATTAGCTAAAATAGAAAAATGGCTTTTTAAGTTATAATTTAACTAAAAATTTAAAGAGATTGTCGTGGATGCTCTAATGCTAGCATGGTATTCCCAAAGATTTAGGGTTGTAACTTGAATTGAAGCCAAGCATTTACTAAATTTTTTACACAATACTTACATGAGCATGTAATCTTTTCATTTAGGTTTCGTTTGAGAATATGTTATTTCAGTAACTTTTTTATTTTTTATGAAAAGATGTGTAAAAAAGTAAAAAATAATGTGACAATTTATAGTGATTTTTAGTAATGATTGATTCCATGGCTTTTCAAATAGCCTTGACTTTTTAGATAAAAATGTATAGGACGACTGATTGAGTTAGCTCAATTTGTTCTCTTTTCAATTAATAAGAGAATATTTACAAAATATAAATTGAATTATATCCGAACAATTATAATAATTATTTTTTTTGTTTGTTTTTAGTTGGTCAATTAGTAAGAGAACATCTACAAATATAAAAATAACTATACCTGAACAATCATATTCCAACAATTATAAATTTATTTCAAGACATACAACATACATTTTTTGAGGATTTAGTCAAATATTCTTGCACGAGTAGGGAAAAAAATATTGTTTCAATGTGTTGCGAATATGGATAGGCATGTTTGATGAAAAATTGATTTAGAATAATTTGAGCTATCTATCATCGGCCTTCAACTTTGTTAGTGAAAAGCTTGCCTTATGAAAGTTGGTATAATTCCTTAACCCCTGTTTGGAAAACACTTTTTTAGATTTTTCTTTTTACATAAAACAATTTTTTTTTAGTAGTTTTGCTAGACACATTAATTCTTTTTAACAAATATTTTTTTCCCAAAAATCTAAAAATTAAAATGCATCTAAAAAGAACAATAATTTCCAAACCCTAGTTTAATCACAATTGTACTAAGCTTGGTTTGGCTATCATTTTAGGATTAAAAAAAGTACAAAATGATAAAATAGGCTAAACAAGTTAACAAGATAAAATATCGCATCCAACCCATAAGTATTATACTTTCTTTCTCATAAAAGTCAAAAAAGTCAAAAAAATCAAAACCAAATGAGGCTAAAAAAGCTAAACTAAAAAAGCCTCAACATAAAAAAGTTGACTATATTAGCCAATACCAAACTAAGCTTAAGCAATTTGCATTTGATACTGTCAAAGCAAGCATTTCAATCTTCCATCTAACTCCATACGACAATTATTTGGCTCTTTACTGGAGCTTCTTCATTACTTTCTATAAGATGGATTTTTAGGGTTATGTGGATCCTCATTATTCAACTTTCAGTATTTATCTTTTTAATGGTTCTACAACAATCAACTAGAGATTAGGAGATAGATAACTCCATTGATTAAGAGATTGAACATCAGAGTTTCATTATGGGGTAATTCGTAGAGCTATCATGTTGAACTCTCACTAACGTCAAAATAGTTGGACTTAACCAATATCTATGGTTTTGTTAGTCATTGTGCATATCCCAAGTGAACTGAATGATAGAATGGACCAGTAAAAATTTAAGTTAATTACTTAGAAATCTTATTCATAAATGTTATGGTAGTTAAGTCCTATTTAAATTTTTTTTGAATCAATAAATCTTATTTAGTAAAATTGAGAATATTATCAATTTTTCTTAATTTTTAAAACTAAGAACATTATCAATTTTGCATAATAGTATTCCAAATAACTGTTTTACTAACTGATAAAAAAAACAGAGTATGAGATTAAAAGTTTTTGTCCTTCTATTTTTATTAGTTTGATTTAACTATTCAATAAAATCGAGGACATTAACATTATTTTTTTTTTCTAATTTTAAAATTGAAAATATTATTAGTTTTTTCATTTTTAAAGTTTATTTTTTATTATTTTTTTATTTTTTCAATTTTGCATATCAATGTTCCATCATTATGCTCCTTTATAGACACAAAATTTTCAGTTTTGCACAAAAAAAATAATTCAGTTTTTTCAATTTTTTTAAAAAAAAACAATTACTTTTTTAGTTGTTTTTGGCACATAATTTTTTTTTTTGCAATTTTTTTTTAATTTAAAAGTTGATATTTTAAGATTTTGAAAATCAAAATAAATGTCAAACCATCGTATTCATTTATAGATTATCATAAATGATGAACAACTATTGTTTGAAGGGTAATTCTAACTATTAAAAATTTAATAGGACTTGAAAGTCTAAAATATCTTAATTAAGACTTAGGTCTCATTTAGAAACATGCCACTTTAGTAATTTTTTGAATTTTTACGAAAAGATGTGCAAAAAAATAGAAAGCGTGATGTAATAATTTGTAGTTACTTTTTGACTTTTTAACTAAAATATATAATTTATAAATGAAATTTTAATAAAATATATATTCATAAATTAATAGTTGTGCGTAAATATTTCCATCATAAAAGAAATGACAGGATCGTGGCATTCCTTTACAATCTTTATATTCTGTGAACGTCATCTAGCTAAGTACTTGCCTCCATCTTCCTCATGAAAACATTGACTTAATTTGAAGATAATATACCAACTATTAATGGCAAACGTAATCATTGTTAAATATGAAATAAAGCGAAAACTAACTATTACCGTTTGCAACTTTTGTTTGGATGACGTGGATAAGAGAGGTGAATTGGGAATCTCATTTTTAAGTTTCTTTTATTTCATTGTTTGTAGAAAATTTGATTCAAAGTTCAATTTTCAAGACAGAATAAGATTATTATCTTGTTTCCACACATTCTTATGAAAATTTAACATTCTTAGAGAATGCCTACAATATTTTAAAATTTATATTATATTTTTATAGAAGATTTCTAACTAAATCAAGTGCTTGAATCACATTGACACATGAATATTATTATTAGCTACAAATTCCAAATAGTAGAATTTGCATTATTTCTATTTAGAATTCCAAAATTAAGATATTTTATTTTTCTCATTGCTTGTTCTTTTACAATTTGAAAATATTTGTTAGGTATTGTGGACCTTAATAAGTACTGTACACGGAATCCTGAGTCTAATGAGTGGTTTGGAGGGCCTCTCTCCGTGAGTTGGGGGTTCCAGAGGGGTTTGGGGGTCCCCATTTTTAGGTACTTTGGTAATTTTCTATTACTTCCGCGTTGTCCTAATTTCTGCACTTATAAACAAATGAGAGACATCTCTTGTATTGAATAAGGGAGTTGTTTTCTGATAGTAGCTGTGAACGTAATTTTATTTTGGACTGAATCATGTAAATCCTTATATTTTTGTGTATAATTTTTGCAATTCGTTTTTATTTCTCTTACTTCTTTGTTTGTGTCTCATTGATCTTAGATATGAATGGTTAATTTCCTAACAGTATTGGTAGTGCTTTGAAACTTACTACCACTTGCCCATGCAAGTTACTGTTATGCCAGAGGATCTCAAATATGAATACACAACACAAATACAACGAGATTTATGTGGTTTGACAATTGTTTACTCCACAAAGATAGCTTGATTTCACTAAATTTACAGAAAAAATACAATCACTCAATTCCTAACCACTCTCTATAATTTAATGTTTATCATACCAAAATACAATTCCTTACCTCCCTATTTGTAGGTTTTTGATGAGGATGAGAGATGTGTATGCAGTGACACCAAAATCATCGCCTCACGGGAAGCTTTATGATAGCTTCCATTGTTGACATTCAAAGCTTGAACTCAAGATGATGGATCCTTACAGCATCTTCTAGAGATTTTTGGATCTTTCATCTTTAGCCTT